CATTGCTTTTGTATTTGCTTCAATTATTGAACCAATTTGTTTCCACACATTTTTTGATAAGGTTGGTAAATTAGTTTTAGCATTATTTAAAGACCTATTCGAATAAAATGATTCTGACCAATGATTATACATTTGCATAGCAGCACCTTCAAAGACAAGATGCATAATGTCTAAAGGAAAAGAATCAGGAAATTGTACAGCTATTAATTCAAAAAGAATACTTTCTCCTGCTATTCCTATAAAAATATTATTATTAAATATTATTAAAATATAATGTAATCATATGCTAATTAAATATGTATACCTGTTTCTCTTTGAATTTTTTTCTTATTAGATGCAGCTTTCCAAGTTAAAATTTTGTCCAAATATGATTTATGATTACGTAAAGGAAGGTTTTTTGTATTATATGATACTCTGCTCTTTTTACTTGGATGCTTTAGAGGAAAGTATACATGATTAACACCTGTATCTGAATTAGTTGTTCCCTTGATATCACAAAATCTGCAGCCCATATATCCATTATGTCCAGTTATATTCATTAGTTTGCTAATTGCAGGTATGTCTCCGCACCATATTGGAACAAAAGCACGCAAATTAAAATTTTCTTTTTTCCAACCATCCCAACATAATACACCAGCTAAATAAAATTAAAATAAATATTTTTTAATAAATCAATTAAAATTATATATTAAATTAAATACCTTCAAGTTCTTTTAATTCATTAATAATAGGATACATAAAGCTATTTAAATTTTTTGGACTATTAGGACCTGGTATTATTGCTAAAATTAATAGATTTTCACGTTTAACTCGATCTTCTAGAGGTATATTATTATTAATAAACATAATTATCCAGTTATCATCTCTTTTTTGACAAAAAATTTGGTAGCCATCCAAACTTCTAGTAAGTATTAAGTCTCGTTCATCTTGTATTAACTTTTTGTGTAGTAGTCTTTTATATAATTGTCTATCAAAAATATTTTCAAATTTGGTAGAATTAAGCTTATAGTTTGAGCGATATCTAAATATTTTAGACCGCTGTGAATCAGCATATTGAAATTTTAATTGAGGTATTAATGGATAATAGGCTGCATTTTTGTATGCAGATTGATCTTCTTTAAATCATGCAGCCTCACATATAGGGCACCTTGACATTTCTGTATATTTGCCAGTAAAAGCTATACAAGAATTAATACACATATCAACAAAGTATATATTAAAATTAACTAGTTTTTGAAGAGTTTGTTTTGTCGTATATAATGTTGGACCATTACAACCAAATATTTGTAAAATTTCGGAAAAATTTTCATCAGATATTTGAGTTTTTTTAGCCTTTAAATATAATAATTGTAATGCTTTAAGCATATTTGGCGATTCTAAATAAAAATTTTAATAAATTAATAAATTAATATAATAAATTTAAATTAATTTATTGATATATTAGAGCGCTAATATATAAGTTATTATATAATATTAAATTTGATATATAATATATGTAGCTAGCGCTCTTAATAAATAAAATTCTTATGTTCTAGCTCCTGTATAATTTTATTATTATTGTCATTTTTATAATAATTTGTTTAATTTTTTTGTTCTAAGTTTTTATATCGTAAAGTAGTACTATGATCTTCTTGTGAAGTAATATCTTGATCTTCGTAAAAATCTTAATGTTGTAAAGTAATATCTTGATCTTCATAAAAAGCTTGATTTTCATTAAAATCTTGATCTTCGTAAAAATCCTAATCTTCATAAAAATTCTGATTTTCATTAAAATCTTGATCTTTATAAAAATCTTAATATTGTAAGGTAATAATATCTTGCTTGTTATAAAGAAAATCTTTTTTTGATTTATTAGTTCTTTTTGTTCTAAAATATGTTTTTCTAATAATTTTTCCATTTTTGTTATAAAAACATCTTTCTGCTTTATCATGTTGGCGTTTAATTCTCTTACTAAGTTCTCGTCCTTGCATGCTTATTATTAAACAAGCTTTGCATTTACAAATTACTTTTTCTAATTTACGCTTATTAGTCATTTATTATATATTACTAATATACTTGAAATTTTAACAATTAAAAACACCAAAATTTTTATTTAAGGTTTTATTTATGTATTACAAACATTAAAATATAGTTTATCAATTAGCTGCCAAATTTAGAAATTTAGTATCGCATGAGAATATAAATAATTCAGATCCATATAAATATAAATTTATTTACATTTTTGTTTTTGCAAATTTCAAACTTTTACAATGACAACTTCATCTTCAATTACCTATTTATATCTATCTCAAAAAATTATAGATAGCAAAGCTCCTTCTGAAGAAATATTAGATTTATTATCAGCTCAACAAAAAATAGAAGTTTTAAAATTATGTTATAATTCACAATGAAAATTACTTAACAAGTTACTTGAAGAAAAAAGAATTAAGCAAGCTATTATAGAAATACCTACTATGGAGCCATCTAAACGAGATAAATATCAGTTATCAAAAATTAAACTTTGGGAGCTTTGTCCATGGCTACCAAAAACTTATTTTGCAAAAATTAAAGCTGATTTTACTCCATATATTGAAGCAAATAAAATCGCTGAGTCAACAACATGGTCACAATTAGGGTATTCAGCTAGAGAAAGTTGGATCGAA